GCAAGGACGCCACTAGGGGCTCCTGGCATCGCTACTAGGAGCAAGAAGCTACTAGGGGCTCCTGGCATCGCTACTAGGAGCAAGGACGCTGACTCAATTACTGCTTTGGTCCGACAGGTGCAACCTGCTCAGGGCGCCACATTGGGATTTGCTTGATCCCCACTCAGACTCCGCCGAGAAACACTTTGGCTTACTCAGTGGCAGTCAAAACTATCAAACCGTATCGACTCTATCCGCGAGCCTCATGTAGGTCTGGTCCTTTATCTCAGTGGACTGCTGTGCTGTGCCATCTTATTCAATGGGATCCTCGATCTGTTTCCACCTGACAAGTCTTTCTGGCTTTCCTGTCATGATTTGATACATGCTGCCCTCCTCCTGTCCTCCCTTGCCTTAACAACACATTCGTCATCCTTGAGCCAACCATTAGCAGGTGGGCTATGCTGGGAGAATTGAGTGCACGGAGAGGTGTGAATGGAGCATCAGTTGAAGAAAACCCTTCACTCGTATCGCGTTCAATCTAAAAACGCTTCCCAGCATTCGGGGCCCAAACATCGCAAGGCCGCACCCCAGGTGCAATCTGAGTCTCGAAATCACAGTGCATGAATCCATGAACTGAGTAGCGTCCTTGCTCCTAGTAGTAAGGCCAGGAGCCCCTAGTAGCGTCGTAGTGCATGAATCCATGAACTGTCAACAATTTCAGCATTGCTTTTGCATTGAGTCTGCTATGACTGCTATGACAGCCATGGATGTAATACTTCCCAGGTGGCCTGTCACTTCTGCACAGCTTCCGGGGAGAGCATTATGTGCCACTAGTCACTAATTAGTGTTCGGTTAGGTTGCGCACGACACGCTTAGTTTGGAGCTTCTGTTGCTGCTGCCAAGCACCTATTTCCTTTATTTCCTTTCATGAATGTCCATTCCATTCGCCATTTCTTCGCAATGAGAGGGGAGCATGCTCATTGCTTGTCAAAATGGCAAATGGGATGCCCTCTTCGAGGGTTCAAACCTGAGATCAACTTGTCTCTTGGCCAGCTGCATTGCTGGTGTGCTCCAACAGCAGGCTCTCGAAGCCTGACACAAAACACCAAAACCAAAGGGTGAATCGCAATGGAAAAGGCCCTAATGCAAGTCTTCCGACCTACATCGCAGCTCTTTGCGGGCGTGATAAATCTTCGAGCATGGCTTGCCTGAGAGCTGTAGCATTATATATATAATACTATATACCGAATGGCCGCTTGCCATTGTCAGCTCGCTCTCTCTCTCTCTCTCTCTGGGGCTTCGGGGTTGTGCTGGCTGACAATGGCTGTAGTATACTCATATGTCGACATATGTCATATGTCATCTCTTTTGAGCGTCACATATGTCATATGTCATCTCTTTTGAGCGTCATTGAGCATCTGTGCCAGGTCTGGGCGATCTCAAACTCCGAGGCGATCGAACATAGGCCTCGAAGCAGGCTTAGTCATTGCCATCTGGTCTCAGCTTGTCTCAGCCAATCGCCCGTGACGCAGGAGGCTTTGGCGTCGCAGGTGGGTCCCCTGAGCTTAAAAATGATATCTCGTTGAAGCAGCAGTCTTTGTAGTCTTTCTGCATCTTTCTGCAGTGCTCACTGCGCCCCAATCCCAGCCCCATACATGCTGCCTGGCAAGCCAGCTTGCGGGAACATGTGCGCCAAAGGTGGAAGCCAGAACCTTGCAACCCAATCTATCTCGTCCACAAGTGTTGTGGTAGGTTACGGTATGTTGTGGGTTCTCTCAGGCTCGTGCTCACCCAGCACCTCAAAAGCAACAGTCTGGCACAAGATTTGGCACAAACACAGAAAACCGCTCTGCAAATCCTTGCACACTGCGCCATGAGCCTCCGCCGTCAACAGTGACCTGTTGAGATGCAGCCTTCGGGACTGGCACAAGCTCGAGTCTGTCACTTGAAGAGCTGTGAAGAGGAGAACAACGAAGAGTTTTTGAAGCTATGAGCTGGCAAACATCACCAGTCTGAGGCCCTGAGAGCCGAGCTCATTGTCTGGGGTGCTACCTGCCAGCGCTCATGCCACAATACAGATATGGAGAGTGAGAATCGAACAAAGGTTTGCCCTTTCTGGCCTTGTGCCATGAGTTCATCCCTATCAACACGACAAAGCTGAACCTCCGCACAACTCAAACCGTGAGCGCGTTGTTCGCACCACGTTATGCAAGCCGAGGGAACAGCCAATACATTAGGCCAACGAGGCTCACCTGCTCCAATCAACTGGAACAAATGAAGAACAGTGTGACGATGAGCATAAATAACCTGTCAGAGTGGTACCAGCTACCTCCACATCCGGCCATCAGATTGGCAAGCACACTGGCTGGAATATTATGGCATCCAGGTGGTTTCCTGGCACAAGATTCATCAGGCCGAACCTTGCAAAGGCGTTTCATGCTTGCCACCGAGATGCAGGGGCCGTGGTACTTGCCAAACCTGTGCGGTTCAAGTCCATTTAAACAACAAGCAGCACTGCTTTGCCAAAGCGCCTCGTGAGGCGGCTGTAGAAAGGCAGAGGTGCTAGGATCCTGTGAGAAGCCAAGCCTCGGTAGCAACCGAAAGAACGCAACAGAAGGATAAAACAGACAGCAAACGGCAGCAACTTGCAAGCTTCTACTGCCCACTACCGCCCCAGGATCAAGACAAGATGTGCTGTTCGACACCAGCTCTTCCAGCAATCACCTCTGTTCACTCTGGACTCTGGACTCCTTTTTGAGAATATGGGCAGCAAGGAAAATAACGACATGGACTCAGTGCCTTCATTCGCTTTTGCAGTTCATCGTCCAGCAGTTTGGCCAGCTGTAAATAGCTCAAGCCTAACACAAGCTGTGGATGGCTTCCAGCGTCAAATCAAAACTTCGCGTCATGCCTGCCAGGGCCAGTTCCTTGTCTCAAAATCGCTGATGACAAAAGTCGGTGTTGAAGGTAATCTAGTTCAAATACAATTGAACGCACTCCCAAGTTCTGGGTGGCTGGCATGCGGCTCTCCCTGTCGTCCTGCACTGGCTCAATTTATGTTCTCGGTTGGCAGTGCCACCAAATGTCTCCAGGTTGCTTCAGTGCAAGTTTCCAGCCTGCTACATTTGTGTGCACAGCCTGCCTCAGCCACAAGTGTGAATGGCTCTGAACACTTCCCCAAGAGCAAGGTTGCCAAGCAAAACCAAGCGAACCACCTATATAAAATAGCACCATCATCTGAAAAACGGCTTCTTGTTCGCAAAGGATCAAGGCAAGGTTAAGCAAAGGAACAAACTCGCAAAATGAAGCTAGAATCTACTAATAGAAAATATGAAACAATCCGATAACACGTGCACACAATCGGAGCATGGACCTCTCTACAACTCAGGCATGGACTGCAAAGCCGCAGCAAAGCTAGTTGTGAACAGCCTTCGGCACTCTGTAACATCTATGCTCGACGAGTTCAGCAGCTGAACGCGTGGGACGGGCCGACACCTTTATCGCATGTTTATGCTGACATCCTGAGGTTCGATCCCGTAGCTCTGCTTGCATGCAGGAAGTTTGGCTTCAAGACCTAGCAGCTATAGCAGCTAGCATCAAATGAATACATGTGACAGAAGCTGTTGCATAATAGTGCCCTCGCCTTGGTCCTGGGTACCGCTACAAGCCCCGAGGGCATTCATCAAACACAAACAAGGAAGTAAAAGAACAACAGAATGATGAATGCTTTTCAATTCTTACTCAGGAGGATTGTGCTTCTATATCTAAGTCTTGGATTTGACCTCACGCTGCTCTCCACCATCTTTGCCACTAGCTGCTGCTCCGCTCCACCTCTTTTTGCCAAGCACCAAGCTGGGCGTTTCCCCTGTTTGTGAACCTTCATAGACTGAGATCTGCTGAGTGTGCTCACCAAGCAGGTGACCATGTATATAACCTGTTTCATTTTCTCTCTTTAACCGTGATCTCCTGGGGATAGGTTTGACGTGCTTTCATGCTGAAAGTCGCATGCACACGCAACTTAACCCGGTCGGCTGGAGCAATGCTAGTCACTCTAGCTATGAGCTGCGATTCTGCACCACCCCGGCAGGAGCGGCCAAAGTGCCAAAACCAAGCACCAGGCATCTGACATGTGAACTCATGCAACCTTAGACTGTGAGGCTGCATTCTTTGGCCAGTTTTATGCCAGCTATTCGGTGCAGCAGCTAAACGTACAGCAAAGCCAAGGCTGATTGCTCCTTCGACATCCAACCACACACCAGCGGACCGACCTCAACACGTCTGAATTGATGATGTGTACACCCGGCAAGTTGAGGACCGTGTGTGTGAGATGTGTCGGAGAGGGAGCGAGCTTTGAGTCAGCTCTCGTTCTCTGTATTCAGCATGCGTTGCTTGCTCAAGCTAACATCCTGGCCCTCATTCAAGGTATATGTAGTCAGAAGGAAAGCTCTATTTGCCCCATTGCATACTTTGTTACTTGTCACTTGTCCGGAGTCCATGGACTCAATGTAAGAACTCAGAGCCTTCTCCATTGTTCTGATCAAAACGGCGCGTTCATCTCCACTCACTTTTCCTGAAGCTGTAAACCGTGAGAACAGGCCGGATATTCATTCACATCTAAGGTCTTCAACATTGAAAGAAACACACAAATACAGTACACTGTAGTCATCTGAAACATATCCCGGATGGCTGTGACCATGCCTCCACCATCCAGTGACACTTCCAGCCTCCCATCTAAATGGAAAAGATCAAAAGCTCAAAGGACGAACAGCCTTGGCACAACTCAATTAGGCGTGATTTTCTTTTGGCTCAGTTTTGATCTCCTTGTCAGCATGTGCATCTGTAAGATCTGTAAGAGTGTCCTACAAGAGTGCCCCAAAGGAGTGACCCACAAGAGTGTCTTACAAGGGTGACACACAAGAGTGCCGCGCATGAGTGTCCCACAAGCGTGTCCTACAAGAGTGCCATACAGGAGGATCCCACAAGAGTGTCCCGCAAGAGTGTCCCACAAGAATGTCCGACAAGAGTGTCCTGTACAAGAGTGTCCCACAAGAGTGTCCTACCAGGGAGGTCCGCAAGAGTGTCCCACAAGAGTGTCGTTGCTTGGATTGTTTAAGGTTTGGCTCAGGTTCCCGACGTTCATCATTCGGCGGGTTGAGCAGTTTTGGGCCTAACAATGAATAGCTCCCCATAAAGACCTCTGTTTGCGGAAGGTGCTCAAGAAAGTGTGCATCATGTAAACTTACACATGTGCAAAGCATCTGACAAGCGTTAATTACTGTGCTGAACCTTTGATGCAGCTTTGCTGATAATTTTGTTTGGCTTGGCCAGAAGTTCTTTCGCAATCTGCTGTCCAAACGTGGCTGATTTCCTGCGCTGTTTGTTGGCAAATGCTCTTGGTTTTGGCAAATGTATGATTGCGGCATTAAGTGCGCTTTTGTGGTCATGGAATGTCAGTGGCTATATGTGCTATGCAAAGTATCATGGGTCGACAAGTTTGAGGTGGTTCAAGCAATGGCCTTATCGGCGGCGGTCACGGTCACGATCTCTGTCACGGTCCCGATCTCGGTCTCGATCCCGGTCACGGTCTGGCGCACGAACACCCCAAGCCGAAAGCCCTCATTGGGGATTAGCACTGCGAAAAAAGAATTGAATCAGCTCAACCGGCCTCCGCCTCCACCACCGCCGCCGCCACCGCCACCGCCACCAGCAGCAGCCTAGCAGCGTATGGATGATTACAACAGTAACCGATGTAAAAATATGTGAAAACAACCCAATGGGAAGAAAATCAATGAATGCACGACATAATGGCAAGGGCGCGAGCAGCTGAGCTGCTTTTGCGGGGATCCTTTGAGCATCCGAGAATTCGGGTCTGCAGCATGGTCTGTTCTCCAAGGAATCTTCCTGGGCTGCTCCAAAAGAGTTTTAGAATGGGCTCTGTTGGCGCCGCTATGGAATTCAGCTGCAGCTCTTTGGATGGAGCTTGCAGTTCAAGCAATAGTTCACATCCGACATACTCAAAGAGAGGAATTGAGGGTTGTGCGAAAGCTGCTCCATGGGATTGCTTGTTACCTGTCCTGTCATGATGGCATCAACGTGTGGCTTAATTCCGACTGCCAAGTACTCGGGGATGCCGCTCAAAGGATAGGAGCCTGTGGGTGGAATTTCGGCAGCAACCACTTGCATATAGTAGTTGTTCTTCCGATCGTAGAGTGGAATGAAACCGAAGGCCCCGGGATCCATGTGGCACTGAGCTTCCTCACACTCTTTAGTAAAGCCTTTCACACTGTCAAAGCACATCAAAAAGTGTCCAAAGCCATAGTCACCATAGAGAGTGTAGTAATCCTTCAAGAAGGGCGTAGCATCGACCTCTGAGGCATCGATCAACTCCTTGCTAAATGTCTTGTAAGCTAAGAGGCCGGCCATGAACTTCTCGTAGTCAACCCCGGTGGTGAACAATCCACCCCCAAAATCTGGGCAGCTTCCTGGATAAGAGCTATCCTTCATGTCAAAGGCTTCGACCAAGTACTTCTGAATTACCTGCTGAATATCAAGCCCGGTGACGGTCACGGCCACGGCTGCTGCCAGCTGCAAGTGGTTGGAATTGTACGAGTACACCTGCCCAGGCTTGCCGATGAGCTTCACATTGTTGTAGATGTACTTGCCACAGCTCAGAATGTCCCCTGAAGTAGAGTCACACTCCTTTCCTGCCAAGCGCCTTGCAGACATGAGCTCTGCTCGTCCATTTGCTTGTCGCCATTCTCTACCTGCTCTGGTGTTGGCCTCTTCACCTGGGTGTCCATCTCCGAAGCCTGATGTGAAGCTCAACAGCATGCGGAAAGTCACGGTGGACCGGGGGTCCTTCGGGTCTTTGGTCCACCATGAGAGGTGTTTGTGCACTGGATCATCTAGACCCACCGAGCCATCTTCCACCAAGCCTGCAAACATCATGGCCGATGGCCATTTGCTAGTGCTGCCAGTAGGGATCTTGGTCTTCAAAGTGAAGTTCCCGCCTTCATAGGTGAAGAGACGACCATGTTTGGCATCGCCAACCACAACAGCATAGTTGGTTGTAAATTCCCACTGCTGAAGGATTTGTCGCAAACCATCCCAAGCAGATGCATCAGGAGCATCTCTCACATCATCCATGCCTCTGGTGCCTCGAAAATTTACCAAGCTGGTGCCCCCCATCTCCATGTCAAGCCATCCAAGCTTTTGGACTGCAAAAGTTACAGCGGCGCCAGCCAACAAGTACAAAGGGCCATGAGGAATGGTCATGTCTGCCAGCCTCGAGGGCCAGACGTCACAGGCACAAAGAGTTTTAATACCTTTGCCTTGAGCCAAGAAGTACATTCGCCGTTGCAAAATAGATGTTTCAAAAACACATCGCAGCATCATCCGTCAGTCCATCCCTGTCCATTACTGTCAGGTCAGCAACCCCACGCATCAAAGACGCCATGTGAACTTGCAGCGCACCTTCTTGGCTTTCTTACTGCCTGCTGGGTACTTTGGCGGGTTCTGCTTTGGGGCCTCATGAACGGACATGGAAGCCACCAAAAGCATAAAACCATTCTACCCGTACACAGGGAATTGCCAACATGATAAGCTCCAGAAAAGGCGCGTCATCGATCAGTAGGATATTCAGATCCGCATGATCTGGGAGAATGACCTTGGCTATCGGCTCTAGACCAACTTGAACCCGACGCACATGATTCTTTGTGATCGCAGCAGCTGGAAACATCCTGCGCTGCTCTTTCAAAAAAAGGGACCGTTATTATCGGAAGATAGATGCCATGGTTGCCTCGATTCACTTGCGAATCAAGGGGGTGCGAAAGGGGGTGCCAAGATGTGCCAAGTGGCATATCGAATGTTTGCGCCGCGTATCGAGAGGTACGCCATGCTGACGGGATTTTTGTGCCTCACAGTAACCTTCACCTTGCAGAGGCCAACAATCCGAAAGAACGCGTCAAACATGAAGACTCATAGCGCTGACGAGGCTGAGCCTGTTTCAGGTGCGCATTCATCGAAGAATCCACCTTGGCAACTATGACTCACCCAACTTCCCAATACGTTGATTTCAGCAAAGCATGTTTCAGGACACTTGCATCCCAGCTGCTGCTGTGATTGTTCCGGACACTTGCGTCCCGTTTTTCAGCTCCATAGTGACTGTCTCATTCACCTCAGTCAGGTTTTCATCTATCTATGCGCTGCTGGTCTTCCATCTATGCGCTGCTGGTCTCTGGTCTTGCCGCTGGTCTTGAATCGCTTGGCTCCCAGCCATTTTGCCCAAAAACCTGCGAGACAGGAAGCAGAACAACGTAGGTAATTATATACTAAGGATAATATATCCAATGTGCACATTAAGAACGCTTGGGAGAAAAAAAACACAATTCAAAGCTGCGCGAAACTCTGCACATCACGGGCGGCATAGGTCGGGCCTATTGAGCTTCATGATGAAGTCAGAATCACGCCCGCAGCCTACCTACTGCCCCCGGGTTTGGGCAGCTTTGGATCAAAACGGCTGCAAACACCAGTTTGCTTGGCAGCTCGACCAGTGAGCGGGTACTTGCGACCTGCGTTTCATGCACTTGGAAGTGCAACAACTCCCTCCATAGCCCGTGAACTACTTGGCCACAAAGTATGAGTGTGGCAAGCCCAGCCCTACATCTGTACAACATCTGCACTTTTGAATCATTCCAACTTTGCCAGCAGGTTTCTGAACTTTCTTAACACTTATCCTCAGGTCTTGGCAAACTTGGTCTGGCCGACAGGCACAAAGAAGAAATGCTGCCTTGATGCAGCAGAAACGAGTGAAGTTTGTGGATTCATGCTTGGAACGTGCAGCAATGCAAGTCTTTGTCGAACAACTGCATTTGGATCTCTATTTCGCAATGGTGTCTTCCTTCAACATTCGCTTTTTTGGTGACAAACGCCGCAAGTCTTCAGAATTCACTGCGGCTCAAGCAGCAACTTGAATGGGGGACTGGGAGGCTGATACTGAGCTGAGACTGAGAGTGCATCTTTGGCACGAGGGCTTCCTTCAGAAACAATGGAACCGACCACCTTAACATCTTCCACACTCCTCAACCTGCCAGCATCAAACATGGTTATGTCATGTTTTGTCAAACAGTCCTGTGCAACGCTAGTCACAGGTAGGGGATGCAAATGGAAGCTTTGAGCTTTTCATATGATTGTGCGTCTGCTTTATTCAGCAAAGTAGTGCCAGGGCTGTAAACTGCACCCTCCTTCTCTCTGCGCACTGGGGTAAACATTGGGTGAACATGTGTGAAATAGTAACACGGTGACACTTGCAAGGATGTCCCGAGACTGCCTCAAGCACCTCGAGATGCGCGGTAGAGCTCAGCAGCCAGCTCTGGAGGCCCAAACAGCCGAATGCTTGCAGCTGAACGCCTAAGACTATGAAGATGTGAAATGGCAGCACGTACTTCAGCGCCTTTTCTCCTTCCTACGAAAAGCTCGGACGATCTTCATGGATCTGCGGCGATGGAATCAGGCCCCTTGAAATTTGGGCCAAAAGGAATGGCATGTCTGGGATCAACCTCGCTCGAACGGTATGGTCGCGTTTCACAGCTCCCAAGTTCTTCTTTGATCCCAGACCTACGAATGTCGGAATTGGTTTGGCCAGCCTGCCGTGCAGCTTCACGCGTGCTCATGGCTTCCAGCTCAGGCTTGATGCTGTACATGCCACTACTCAGGACTCGGTAGAGAGCTTCATTGCTGCCTTGGACTTTTGTCAGCCCGTCCGCCAGCATCGCCAGGTGCTCCACCCATTTCACCTCTCCATGGAGTTGTCGAAGATCCTGCCTGATGATCTGGATCTCGATTGCTGTTCTTTTATCCGAGCCGCCGACCGTCTCTTTCGAGAGATGGTCGAAAAGGGACTTTGCGTCCACCACGGCCAGGACCTCTTTCAAGTCCGAGGTGGTGCTCAATGCACTCAGGACCATCATCTCCTGGGAGCACCTTGGAGCGCCACTCCTTGATATTGAATCTCCCATTTCGGAGTTCTTCTGTCAGAACGATGGCCCATGTGAGGTCCGCTAGGCCTTTGGAGAGACTCTGGGTCTCCGCAGCCAGTGTGGAGTTGACCACCCGCTGAAGTCGGCCGCTTCTCCAAGCCAAGACATTGGCTTTTGCTGGCAGTCCGTCTCTGAGTTGACGCTCATGAGCCAACAGAATCTGGCCCCCTTGAGAGTGGTACCCGTTGTTTGCAAAAGAGGCATCTGTGACGATGCTTAGCTTCATGTGTTGCAACGGCTGCACTCGGATCTTCAGGCTGGCGTTCTCCTTCAATCCTTTGACCACTGTGTTCAGAGCTTGGATGTCTTCGATGGTCAGGCGAGATAGCTTTGATGCCATCAACGATGAAGGACCGGCGGCGTCAGGCCGCCCTTCCTTGCTTAGCCAGTTCAGGGCCCCACAAGCGGCTCGGGCCTGTGATTTCTCTTCTTCATCGGCCAGCTCTTTCTTCTGGGAGTTTCTTCCTTTCTTCAACTGCACGGGGTGCAGTCTCTCCAGGATGAACTTCTCCATGTCGATCTGGAACTCGCCATCGCCTTTCTGCATGATTCTTCTGCCGTTGAAAGCGCACCCCATAGGCTCTTGTTGGAGGTACACATACTTTCCAAAGGTGTACCGCTTCCTTAGTTCTGCCATCTTCTGATGGTGTTCTTCGTGGCCCACCGTGAACAGGTCGTCCACTTCAATTGCTATGGCCCCCAACAGCTTCTTTCCTGAATGGTCGAAGAGCCGCATGATGCAAGGGTCCATGGCGGACATCTTGTAGCCCAACTTGTCCAGGTCCGCCAACAGGCTCTGCCGCCAGTGAATCGGCCCGTCAACTAGGCCGTACACCCCGTTGATGATCAGGACGATTTGGTGCCGGTGGAGTCCTTTGATGCCCTCCTTGGGTTGCTGGAAGTAGAGTGGACCATTTGGCCTCTGAAGTGGTTGGCTTTGGCAGAATGCATTCTTCAAGTCTCCAACCGTAGCCCTCATGCCCTCATTGGCTGCCAGCTGGAGCAAGATGTTGAAGTTCACCGTGTTGAGGGTTGGACTAAAGCGCTCCAACTCCAAGATGTCAGGATCTTTGTCCCCTCGCAGGCAGATTCTGGACTTTTTGACTGCTGGTTCACCAGGTTGTTCTGCCGGCTTGTATCGGCGGGCAAACTTGGTCGGCAGGATGCGGTCTTCTTTCCCAGCGGCCCGTAGTTCTTGACGTACTCTTCGAGACTGTTCCAGCGGTAGGACTTGGACTGCTCCACTGCTGGCCACTTTGTTCCACTCCGCAAGGTCTGAGAGCATCCATTCTTCTAGGTCCTCTGGGCTTTCTTTGCGGAGGTCCACGGTGTCCTGGCCCTTCTTCTCGGCAAGGTAGTTGGTGGCACCCTCCAAGTCGGCGATGTCAAATTGGGTGAAACCCACCCACCAATGACTGGAGTCGGTGCATTTGCTAGATTCTCGCCAGTCATCTTGTTGCCAGGTTTCCGTTCCTTTGTCCTTGACCACAGTCTCCCGGTGGTATGAGAGCATGCTCACAGGGATCGGGAGGTCACTGGCAAAGGTTGGATTGAACTTCGTTTTTCTCTTCCGCTGGTGGATGCGTCGCAGCTTCCCATGCTTGTGGTCAACCTGCCAGTAGTCTTTCTTGCCGCTTTGCGGTTGCAGCATTTCTCTCAATTTCTTCTCTTGGCAGCCCTCCTGGTAGTCTTCAAAGGACTCCTCCAGCAAGTCCTCCTCGTCCGTGACCAGGTACCAATAGCCTTCAGTGAAGTAGGGCGCATTTTGTGCTGGCTGTCTCCTCCACTCATGTCGGACTGGTCCTCTTGGATTTGCAGGGAGCCCGTCCAGTCGTTGAGCCGCCTCTATGGATTGCCTCCAGCTCTCCTCGATGTTGTCGTTTGCTCCATTCACCTGACTTCCAGTGTTCCCATTGGCCACCGGAGGTGTTTCCGGCACTTGTGGGAACGGGTTCACCCATTGAGGAGTCGGTGGCATAGGTGGTAAAGGTGGCGGTGGTGCCAAGGTGGACTCTGAAGTTGTCGACGTGGAATCTTCGCTGGAAGTCGGGATCTCCTCTTGTTCTGGCTCCCCAATGGATCTTCTGCGAGCCACCGGTGCTGCAGCCTCTAAATCTTCGTCTGCCACGCTTGGGGTGTACTCCAAGGTGTCTGGTTCTCCTTCTTCGAAGCGCACTGATCGGGTAGTTGGAGGAGCCGTCGATGTAGGGTCCTCCTCTTCCGGAGGCCACTCTTCCTGCGAAAAGTCCTTGTAGCCGGCGCGATGTGGGTTCCTCTTGAATTCATCTATGAGGTCTTGACACTCTGTGAGTACCGCCTCGATGCCGGTCTTCTTGCCGGTGGTTGCAGGGCGGCACTGTTCCCGTGCCACCTTCCATAGCTCTCCCAACATCGACACCCAGAGGTTTGCCCCATCTTCAGCGATGACTGTGCCCGGGCCTACCCAGGTTGGCTTGTTCTTGGCAATGTCGTCTGGCGTGGAGCCGTTCTTGGTCTTCCGGAACCTTGGCACTCGGTAGACGAAGATGTACTCGCCCGGCTTGTAGGTCTGCCATGTTCTTGGGCGGGCCTTCAGTGCCTTTGTTAGCGCCTCCTTGGCGTTGTATTCACAGAAGGCCTTCTGGGCGATTCTTCTCATTTCATGAAGCTTCTCCACATCGTCCACCATCACACCCGCAACCAGGCTTGGGTCGAGGCCCTCGTCAGAGAGGATCGTCGTGGGAAGCCGTGGCCACTGTCCAATCTGCCGTTGCACCGGAGCGAAGCCACTTCGGTTGGCATAGCGGTTCTTGGCCTGCTCGACCTCCCCCACCAGTTGTCGTAGGTCTTTGAGGTTCCTCACTACGAACTCACTGCGGGCCTTCTCCAGCAACGCCTTGAAATGACCTCCATGGCGTTCTGTTTTCCCTTGTTGCCAGGGGGCTTTGGCGGCAATTTGATGAGTGACAATGCCGTGGCCCGAAGCTTGACTCATGAAGTGCTTGAGGAACTCGCGGCCCGCATCGAAGGTCAGCACTTCCGGTGGCCCGAAAGTCCTCATCCACGTGCGAGAGAATGCCTCCCACACTTCCTCCGGCTGCTTGGACTCTAAGATCTCTGCCATCTGGTAGTGCGTTCCCCAGTCCAGCATGTTGAGAACTGGTACGTCTTGACTTCCACCTCCGGGGGCGGTGATGTAGAACAGGTCCACTCCTACCACTCTGTTGGGTTGATAGGACCGGGGTATTGCTGCCGGCCTTGCTGCCTTTGGCTGAGCTTTTGCTTCACAAATCTCACACTTGAACTCGCGGGCTGCCCAACGAACCAGCTCCTTTCTCACACGCGCTGCTCTCAGGAATCGGACAAATTCTCCTCGTTGAGGGTGTCCCACCGCCTTGTGAACCTTCAGGATGGCATTCTTTTCCGGTCCCGTCGGGCTGTATTCTCCGTCTTGTTCACCACGTAGCTCGCCATCCAGCAGCCCATCATCGTGCTCTTCATCTTCTTCTTCATGTAGAACTTCAGGTGTCCGTTGGTCTTTGTCGTTAGGGCCACCCTCGTGCTCCACCGCCATGTAGTCGTTGTTCAAGGCGACCCCTTCTCGGGTGAGGGCTTTGCGAATGCCCTCCGCCAATGCTCGACAGAGCTTTGGCGGGTAGACCTGTGCCTTGGCTGGCCTCCCGTTGGTCAGCGGTTGGTGGAAGTGCGACTTGTTGCAACGGACGGCCAGGATGGACCACAGCTCTGGAATGTCAGTCAGCCAGGAGGTTGGCTTCTTGTTCAGTCCACGCCCATCCACATTCATCCCAAAGCAGCACATGTCACAGGTCACCTTCCTCACACTCGGGCGTTGCTCGATCTTCTTGATGCATTCTTCTTGCCAGGACCTGGCCAGGTTGGGATGCTCATAGATGATGTGGCCTCCTCGAGCCAGTTGCCACCTCATTACAGCCGCCGCCAAGTAGAGATGTTCCAGGCCAGCACACAGTAGCATCATGCCATCCGCCATTCTCATCTTGTAGTAGTTCAACTCCTGGATGGGCGAGAACGCCGTGCATGGTGGGCAGATCATCAGCACCTTCGGCTTCTCCTCTCGTAGCTGACGCCACATGGCCTTGCGGTGAGAAGCCCTGGACAAATCCCACCCGGTCAACAAATCATAGCAAGTTCCAGCAGTCATGCCCTTCTGTTCGGCAGCAGCACTCACCCGGGGTGGTGAGTAGACTTCCCCAACATGCGGCTGTGGATTGAGCTGTGTGTGAAGTGCCTCTAGGGCTTTCCTGACGGTGGTCCGGTTCTTGCGGGTGAACTGGGTCTCCTTTGCTTCCTCCCATAGATCTCGTTGCCGGCCACGATCGGTGAGAGCAAGCTGAATTTTCACTTGGCCCCGTGCAGTCTCGAAGGCCTGGGCCCCTTTGGCGGTGTGCCATTGTTGTTGGTCTTCATCCCACATCATGAAGGTCTCGTCGACGATGAAGTCCCTGTTCTTGCCCGTCATGGAGTCGACGACCCATCCTTTCGCCTTGGCCCCACCGCACATGGTCCAGTGTGACGCTTCTAATCCGAGGACAGGTCGACAATTGGCACCTGAGATCCCGTCTGAGCCGTTCCCGGCATCGGTGGAACTTGGCTCCAGCTGTCCTCGGTCCGCCTGGGGCTCTTCCCTCTCCGTGGACTGTGAGTTCCCGGAGTTCTCAATGGGCTTTTGGAGTGTCTGGACCTCTGAGAGCCCGTCACGGTGCGGGTTTCCTCCTCGTTCTTCAGCATGGGCTCCCACTCGAAGAAGTCGCATTGGCGTTGCACGCACTTCCAAAACTCTCTGCCCTTGCGTGGGTTGTCGGCTGCCTTCACCCTCAGCTTCTCGGCGGTCTTCCCGCATTTGCACAGCCGCAGTGATGCTGCCCCCGTTGAAGCCACTCGAACCGGAGTAGCCTCCGGAGTCGGCACGTTGGACTTCTCCTCCTGAGAGTGGATCAGCATCTGCATGAGCTTCTCCTGCCGAAGTTCTCTCTCCCGAGCCGAGTTCATCGCCTGCTGGACTTCCTCGCTGAGGTTGACGGACTGTGCCAGGCTCTTCTCGGTGAGTTGCAACATTGCTGCCGCCTGGTGGTTCTGCATCTCTTGGAACATCAGCTGGTTGCGGAAGTCCATCTGCTTCATCATGGTGTCTCTCCATTCTTCCAGCTGCTCTGGCGTCACCGGGGAAGAACTCATAGCTGGCATTTGTGGGACTTGGGTCCAATTGGCTTCTGGCACCCTGCCTTGACTTCGTGTTGGCCTCACCGGAGTCGTAGGTGCCGTAGAGCTCGGATAGGTCGAGGTGGTTGCATCCGCGATGGCCGCCGGGTTCTTCTTTTGAAGGCTCAAGGGGCCTTGCTTGAGCTGCTTCCGGACATCCGCAGCCCTCTGATCCAACGCCCAACGAGCATGGCAGTCCTTGCACACAATGTACGAACTGCTGCCGTTTCCCCCACCCTTCAAGGCCTCCTTGCGGTGCACACATGCGCTGATTGCATACTTGGGCGCCACTTTGGACTTCAATGGTGCCAATGGGTTGGCTCGCTGGATAACCTGGTTGTAGAAGTCTTCCATGGTCTCGGCTGCCTGCGAATGCGATGGCCGCGGCAAGGCTAGCTCCAAGCACCAGGCCTCTGTGGCGGACTGGAGCTCCGCCAGAGTGAGGAGAGTGATCACTTTGTCCATGATCATCCGCCAGTTTCGAAGCGCCACTCGCGGACGCACCACAGGTGGATCCGCATCCATCGGCTCCGGGTCGATGGTAGGGCGCACGCCAACCAGTTGCTTTGCCTTCATCAGCAGCGCCGCCATGGTAGAGGTTGGCTTGGGCGGTCTTCAACGAGTCGAATTGCGTGAATCGGTGTTGGGCCGGCATAGCTACAGCATAGCACGACGGCATCAAAAACTCACTTGGTTCACCGGCCTCAACTGGTACTTCAAAAGGTCCAGGTGCAAAGGAAACAATGTTGGTCGTGATGTGTCCACTTGCCATCTCCCTCAAACTGACTATCACATGATGCTTGCGAATGTGCATGCACAACTTCTCAAGATCGACGACGGCTCCGAGTGCACGAAGAAGCCGGATCGGAAGAAGGAGTGGAACGTTCCCCTGCACCACTGTGGTTTCCAAGGTTCCATTGATCCCCCCAATGCCAATAGGAATCAAAGCCACACCTTCTACCTTGGCATCACCTCCAACGCCCCTAGCCGTAGAAACCTTGGGAGTCCACTTGATTTTGAGGCCATGACGTGCTAGTTCTTCTTGAAGGGTGGCTAGCGGTTCAGTTCCAATGAGCCCCCCTTCCGCAGCAGTGTCAACGACTCCCTCATGAGGACGTGTAGTGATGCCGCAAAACTGCATGGAGTCAAGACTGCGCTCCTTGTATGCCTCCTCGGATGAACGAACTGCCAAAACAGGCGGGTGCTGGTGACCTTTGCCGCATTGGGCCCGACGCTGAGCTACAAACTGCCTAAGCCAGAAGCTGTCGTTCGCCTCCGGATTCTGGATGAAGAAGCTGCGGTTTGCTCCATCGGCTGGCTTGGGAGCAGTACATTCTCTCTCCCAATGGCCGATCTGCTGGCATCGACGGCATTTTGTCCTCAATTTGAGTTGCTCGATGTGAGTCTTGGTCTTGCCTTTGCCTTTGCCCTTGCCAGCAAAGCCCTTGCCCTTGCCGACGCCGGGGAAGTAGCCACGTCCAAGTCGCTGGTCCTTCAGGTTTTGCCTGATTTCCTTGTAGGAGGCCAGCGCTGCCTGCACGTCGTCCTCCTCCATGACCTGGTTCAGGTCGCCTTCCGCCACGTACACATACTCGTCGTCGTCCGCCTGGCCACCGTAGAGCTCTTCCATCTCATAGGTTTCAAGCTCCAACTCTTCTCCATGGTCTTCGAAGTAGTTGGACTTGGCGGACTTTTCTTTCACCACCTTGTCGAGGCGCCTCAATGCCATGGTGATCTCCTTCAACGTGTATTTGCCCTCCGCCCAAGTCAACAACCGTTGATCTTGAGCTTCTGTCAAACTGGCCTGCCGGTACAGAATGTACCCTTTTGCCCCATCAGGTAGGTCGACGCCCTCCTTGGAAAGGTGGTTGAATGCCCTCTCCATGCGCTTCACGTAGGCCGCATAGCTTTCCTTAGCGGCCCGGGGCTCACCATAGACCGCGGTCTCAAAAGCCCGCGGCAACGACACCTCCAAGTGCGGAAGGAAGTAGGCCTCCAGCTGGGCCATGACATTCTTCACGCCACGCTCGCCTATGATCAAATCGATCTCGAGGTCCTCCACGGCCAGCGCAGCAGCTCCTGTCAGCTGCCGCAAAAGCTTGACGCCGCGCTTTGCCAACGGCAGATCCGTCTCGTGTTCCCACAAGCGGACTTGCCTTTGAAACTGCCTGAAAGTCAACTCAGGCTGCTCCCCGTCATAACCAGGTGGCGGGTCCCGATCGCGAAAACTTCCAGCCTGTCCTCCAGTGCTCGCACTAGGCCCTTGGCTTGTGGCCATAGATTCACCGCTCTCCCCCATCCACCAGCGTCACGAGGTCCTCCTGAACTCAAAACCACGCTCCGCGCTACCACTGTGAAATGGCAGCACGTACTTCAGCGCCTTTTCTCCTTCCTACGAAAAGCTCGGACGATCTTCATGGATCTGCGGCGATGGAATCAGGCCCCTTGAAATTTGGGCCAAAAGGAATGGCATGTCTGGGATCAACCTCGCTCGAACGGTATGGTCGCGTTTCACAGAAGACTATGTAGACCAGATCCAGTTGCACAGACTTCGGAACAAGCGGTAACAAGTGGCTGCTTTAAAATGATTGCTGTGAATCGACACGGCGTAGCTGGTCAAAACAACTTGTCAGAACCATATCAGTGCGATCAGAGTTGCCGATGCTCATCACTTAAAGAGAAGGAACCGTTGGAATATGCCATTGCCAAACTTAGGTGGCAGCAACAGCGTTGACTGAAAGCTCTGTAAAGCACCTGTGCAATGATCTTCAGGCTGCCAAGTTGCTTGAAGAGCGGGTTGCAAGCAGCTGGGTCCTGATTCTGTGCAGGCTGTGACCATCTTGCAACATGTTGGAGGATATACAATCCAGGTTTGGCCAAGTCTTGTGTGAGTTGCGGACCTTGCACCCAGGGAAAGTCACCAACAGGTCGCCCTCTTCAAACGCATCACAGCCCATGAAATGAGCATTCAGCGCCTGAGGCTTGAATGCGACGAAATGCTGATGACATCTTTAAGTCCGCGGAAGCGCAAGAAGGTGGGGTGATGAGGTGGGCGTGTAATACAAAATCTAGTAGTAGAATCTAGCAAGACATTGTTAAATTTGACTTGACCACCCTTTTTCGCAGATTTACAATTTACAAATGCTACAATGTGCCAAAAGACTGGTACCCACAAAAAAAGACTTGAGATAATATTTATATACTTGGAGGGGGGTGAGGTTCAAAAGATGGTGCTCTGGAAATCTTGACATTTCCAACGAAGGTATGTTCAGCTAAGCCGGGTGAGATGAGATGTTTTGCACTCTAACATGGTTCGGAACCGAAGTTCATGAGCAGCGTTGGACTCGGATCCGGGACTGGCCATCCAACCAGGTCGGAAGGAGGAATGGCAAAGGATGAGTGATCTAGAGACCCCCTGTTTTTGGCCCGCTCCTACTTAATTAGGCGCCTACTACATCCTACTACAGTACTACTTAATCAAGTAAGGGAGTAAGCTACTAGTATGAACGTAGGATATCTCACGCTTCCTTGAAGAAGCGCTCGCACAAATGATTTGGTTCCTAGACTTTTAGGGAAACCAACCAATGTGGAGCAAAGGTCGAAGATCGAGCTGCTTGTGAATGTCTGGCCCATGCAATGTAGAGGCTGCTTACACTCACGCGTAGCCGCATAACCCTTTTCCCACTTCGATCACGCTGTCTCAAGTAACTTCTTCTGTTTCGCTTGTCTCACTTGACTCCAGCCGCTCAAGCATCTCATGAAAGTTGCCAGGCCCGAAGTGCCTTGTCATTGTCCAAGACTTTCGCATCTTGGAAGCCAGGAGCTGCATAATAGCCTGCACACCCACTCGCTCGCTTGCAACTTAACGCTTGTCTGCTAGGTGCCGCCGGACACTCTCCAAGTTGGAGCATTTTAGGTCTTCAAACACTGCTACCCCTAGGAACCGCTGTGGGACTGTGGGATGGCATGTGCTTTCACCTTGTACGCTTGCACTAGGAAATGCTACACAATGGATTAACGGAGGTCCTGCCTGAAAGGCATTTTCTTCATCAAGTCCTGGGCACACTTCTTTGAGCTCGTCGGACTTGGCCATACTCTGCTCGTGCAGCAGTGGTGGGTACACATACCAACATCGCCATGCTTTGCTCGCATCCATGTACTCTTGTACAGTGCTGTCAGGGAGGCTTTTTAAATATTCCATCAACGTGTCGCCAACCAGGTCCATGGGCCACTTGATGACAAAGGATGGCAGATCCATGAAGGACTCGAAGGGGAGTTCCCAAAAATCCGACAAAATCACCGGAACACAATTGGCAAAAAGGGCTTCAAAAAAGCGTAGCGACCAGGCAGACTTGCCCTTTGGCACAAAACAAAACTTTGCCGATCCCATCACTGCATGCATCTCTGGGAAACTCAAATTCTGTGCTACAAAAATCTCTCCTTTCTCCTTAAGCCTTCGAATGGCCGCCCTCACGTCAGGACCTCCTTGGCTCGGATGGGGACCTCTGGATGAGTCGATCCGGCCGAGAAAAACAGCTACATAGCTTCTTTCTGCCAAAGGCTTGGCAGCCTGGTGCAAGGAAATAATTTCATGTCGATGCAAATAGCCCGGCACCGCAATGTCTCGCCATGTGTTGAAGCAAGGCTCCTTCATGTCCACTACATCATTAAAGAGCCAGGTCTCAGGAGAGAGCTGAATGCTTTCAGGAATCTCTGTTCGCCAGGAACGGAATACACTCGCCGATAACCCAGATCCAAATGTGAAAATATGGTCTCGACCCCGGTTTCTATTGAAGTATCGCAATTGTCGAAGCATCTCCTTGTACTTATTATCCAGGTTCTCAAGCGGGAAGAAGCCTCCTTCAAACATGCAAATACTGTAGGCTGGGACGAAAAAGAGGTCGGCTTCGTCTGGGTGTCGCGTCCTGACAAGCAAAGGTAGACTGAAATGAAGGGACCTCGAAATAACGGTTGCAAACGCTAGGCTTGCGGCAGGTATGGAGAGGCCAAAAGCCACTCGTGGATGTGAACCTGCGTAGGTTGTTAAGTTCTAATTAAACCCTTAATTCTATGTTAATTTCTTGTGTCTAATAGCTTCTTGTTACTAGTCGTATGGCCAGGAGCCCCTAGTAGCGTCTTTGCTCCTAGTAGTAAGGCCAGGAGCCCCTAGTAGCGTCCTTGTCAAGTTTACCTCTTGATTCCTCTTGACATGCCGTGATGATGCAATCGTGCCTCCATGCCCCACTGACCTTTCGCGCAAAAGGAGGCCCCTTGAGAAAGTTCCTGGACTTCAGGAACATCGTTGCCGTAAACATAGATCCTCGGTCTCTTCGACTCCTGAAATTTTCGCACCAGACTTGAAGCCACATCTTCAAGCTCGCAAATGCTAAACATGTGTGTGTCGCTTGCCCGCATTCCATCCAGGTGTTATCCTCATCTTTAGGCAAGCGGGTGAGCACGGCCCTTCTCAATGCATTAATGCGAGAGTCCTTCACAAGCCAATCAGACCTCAGGCAAAAGCACAGTGACGACTATTTGACTCGAAACAGCTCTGTCGACTGCTAAGCTCCACACTTGTCTAGCAAGTGTGGATGGATGCCACTCGAAAATGCGTCCAATTGAGAAAGATAGGCTCGCGCAAGTCCAAGGTGAGGTTGGTCAGTCTCTATCAAGTACTTGATGAAGAAAAAGAACACTGAAATCACCCCAAAAACGCAGTGCAACGCCTTAGCTGGTTCTTGAAAAATAGAATAAAAACAGCATCAGCTGGAGAGCAAAAGCGGCTAAGCGGGCAAACCACAATTTTAAAATTTGGTTTAACCTATATAATCTATATTATACCAGCATAAGCCCCAAACAGGTTCAGCGGGATGTTTTTGCGTCAGTTCCTTGAATCTCAAGGTTAGTGGAAACGTCTCTAATTACTACTGTATACTATATTGTGGCCCCAGATTATTTGTTTTGTTGTGTTCTTTTATTTTTTTGTTGTGCATACTTTTGGTGAGCCCGTTGAGGGTTAAATTTGGACGAGGACGGGGCCATTCCAAAGTATCAGCACCCCGAGGTTCACAAAGTGGTTTGTCTTCTTGCTGTAAAGTCTACTGTCGGGTGGTTCACAAAAGGTATGCTCTGTTTTTCATGGTTCCTTCCTCCTCTAAATTTTGCCCTCATCGTGCGGCTCACAAACGTATCCTGCGTTTCAACCTCCACATTTCTAACCTCGGAATTTTAACCTTGGGCTGGTCACAAGCACGATGCTACGTTGGAATGGCCTCCTTCTCTAAATTTGACCTTGGGTGGCTCACAAAAGGTATGCTACGTTGGAATGGCGCCTTCCTTCTCTTAATATAACCCTCGACGGGCTCACAAAATATGCTGTTTTTCATGGTTCCTTCCTGCCCTAAATTTTGCAACGGTGTTGTTTTGAATAGTGCAAGGGCTGGCTTTCCTGCATCCTGGGTAGTAGCTACTTAAGCTTACTAGCTGACTTACTCAAGCCTACTGCGGCATACACCCCCCAGGCTTTAAAACAAAACGCTCTTTTGCTTCTGACATCGAAGATGCTGCACGGTCCAACTCCAGTGGATTTTCCAATTGCTTCACCAATGGCCCAATCACAGCCATGCTCTCAGGGAAGGGGACTTGCAGCAACTGGTACCTGCTCGACTTTGCCGTGATTTCATTATAAGACATCCAAGTTCTGTGGCCTTTTCAGATTCACGCAACCGGTTGCCGTTGCAAGCAGCCCGGTGAATCCAGCCTTGCGAGGTCCCAGTCGATCCCTTCCGAGGCGTTCGCCGTGCGTTCGCAATTCGGATCATTCCATATCCTCATAGCAGCACGGGTGTAAACGAAAACCATATGTATGCATATCTCATATAGTAATAATATATAGATTATATATATACACATTATTACATGTATATATATAGTTATATATATATACTTTTTGAATACATATATATATATGCATATATTTGTACATCTATGTGCTTGCGGATATATTGATATTTCCTCTGCAGCGCCGCATGCGATGTAGGACGCATTTCCCTGAGAGTGAACTTAAGGAACAGAATGAGTACTGTATCTTTTGGTGCGATGCACACTGAGCCGCACACCTGTCCGCTTCCTCGTCACTAGCCTTGAAAGACTGGCCATCCACTGCCAATGCCGAAGGAAAAGTCACGAGAGTGACTAGCCATAGCATCTGATAGCAGAAGGGTAGTATTCGATCAATCAATCAACATAGTATATTGGAAATATGTTTAGGTCTGTGTTGAGACTTAAAACTCAAGACAGTTTTGTCTACGCATGCTGTAGAAAAAGGCCCAGCTTTGCTGAAATTGTGAAGTCAGGCTACTGGTCACTGCGTCTTTGGTGTCAGGGTTTGGGGCCACTGCTTAAGCCAAGCTTCTGCTGTGTATTTGGACACGACACACCCAGCGATCCATTTTTTTATTTTAAGATGCACCTACTGCTATGTTGCTCCTTTTCCTCCTCTGAAAGCTATAAGAAGGTTCCGGGATTGCGGAGCTTCAAATGGATGTCATCGATCTGGGCAAGAACTTCTTCCGAAAGTCCTGCGTCACCTTCGAAGGCATCAAGGTTCTCCTTCAACTGGTCCAGATTGGTAGCGCCAATGATCACCTGTCTGCATGCATAGCAGTTGCCCCCAGCAATGATTAGAGGGTTCTTCAAAAAGAGCCTCTAACCGCCACCAGGTGTAACTGTCTTGATGTTTGGGCAAATTTGGACGTGTGAGTTCCACATTCAGTGTTGCATCTGCAATTTCAACAAATCATTGTGACATGATGACGTACAGTGTGCACATGTGTACCATTACTGCATGATTTGTTTTTCAGGGTTGCAACCTGTGGCCTCCCACATCTGGCGGAAAAGTAAAAAGGCGGGGCCATCCGAAAAAGCGAGTCAGCTGCTACAGTAGGTGGACTGGCAGGACTGCTACTGCTACTGTTGATAGTTTAATAAAACATTGGGTTACGTTACAGTCACATGCAGTCTACAGTAGAAAAATGTTGTTAATGAAATGTTGAAACATGTTGAAACTACATCCTACGAAAGGTACTCATTCTAGAAGGGCTTGTGACAGAAGGCACTTACGAGAGCCATGTGGCTGAGCCGTGCTTGCAGTAAGATCGTGTTCGGCACCAACGGGTTGAGAGCTCCGTAAGTGACATTCCGTTTTCCTCTGCAATCATTGCATAGCCCTCCACCGCTTCTGAAAGTTGTGGAATGCCCTTGGTTGGATTCCATCTGGACATGAAGTTCGGATACTTTGTATGGCGAGATTCAGCTGGCTGCTTGTTTCCACGGTACTTGCCAGACAGCAAGCCTCCAGCCAAAATGGAATATGCCAGCAAGCCAACATTGAAATTTGAGGTGGCACAGGCTTCAGCCAGTTCGTATTCAAAAAGGCGTACCACAAGTGAGCAGGCATTCTGAATGCTGGCTGGTGGTGGCATGTCCAGCTTTTGGGCTGCACGTGTCCATTCGCAAACTCCAAAGGTGGTTTCGTTGGAAACACCATAGGCCTTGATCTTGCCTTCCTGCATCAGGTCCTTGAGAGCAGCAGCTGTTTCCTGGCGGCTTTTTATCTCCAACACAACCTAGTAGCTTCTTGTTCCTAGTAAACCATGTGCAATTGTCCAAAGCCAACTTGACAAACTTTGATTGTCCGCACGAAGCCCATGTGTAGCACTCAACAAAAGCATTGACAGAAAATCGGTTGGCATTCCCAGATTGAGAAAATCAAGCTCCTGCCTCAATCAAGACTGGTTTCCTCTCGTTTGCGCACTTGTACTCCGTTTGGCCAAAAATGGGAACATAGCGATCTGGCCAATGAATCTGGTATAGATCCTCATGAGCCACTGCTCCAGGTCCCAGATTTGCTCGAGAAAATTAGGAGAGCTGAGGGTGTGGAGCTCACACTGCTCAGACCGTTTCAATGGCGAAACTTGGCAGAGGACATTCTAACTTGGTCTCTGGACATCTTGGTAGGTTTAATCTAATTTAGATTCATCCACGGTATGTACCATATAATCTTAAAACATCTTAAAACTTTGCCAAGAAGCAATACAATCGGTTTTCAAGCGGCGAAGTGAGGCCTCGCATGCCTGCCTGATGCCAAACTGCGTGCAACAAAATTGCTGAGGGAAGGGAACTAAACTAACTTAGCGCACCATCCTGACCTTTGGAAGAGGTGCGCCAAACATGTTCTGTCCCTAATGACCAAATTGTCATGACCGCTTCGTCAGGCTTAAACCCTCACCTGACTGATGCTGCATCTGCCCGCGCATCCGGCCAGCTTTCAGAATCGCCTTCTGGTTCACTTCTGCGAGCTGCTGCCCTGCTCCTGGGCCAATATCCGGCCTGGATAAGAACACTCACGCGGTCTGCACAAAGTCTGCCGAAACACTCTGAAAGAGACAGAAGCACAAAAATCAAACACTCAAAACCACCCCGAACCCAACCAAAGCTGAAATCCACAGTCTGTGAAATTGCGTGTCTTTTCTTGGCTTCTTTGATGATCAAACAGCGTATCGACATGTACGGCGAATTGGGATGAATTGGCATGGGAGCAAAAACTCAGGCCACCGCAATTTTGGATGCCCAACACCACCTGTCAGTATTTGAAGTGCGATGTTAGTGCAATAACCATCCAAATACCTCCAATAAGGAAAATGCTCATGGCCTTGGAACGCCAGCCAGGGTTCTCCTCGAACCAAGACCCAATGTACTCCTCAGTGCGGCCTCCAAGGCAGCAAACAAGGCAGCCCTCTTCATGAAAAGCGGCCGGGATGTGATCATACAATGGTAACGATAGCATGAAAGTTTTACGGATCAAGCAAATGCAATTACATGCTATCGGGTCAAGCTTTGTCAGGTGCCATCGGCTGCCATTGGGTCTCTCAGAACCTTGCCTGGACACCATTGTGGATCGAAGTTTGGCACTGGGTACATTTCAGCCGTGTCAATGAAATTGACGCCTCTCCTTAGCAAGGCAAGAAGGCATCCAAAGGCATCCACTTATCCCTTAAAATCTAGGAACCATTTCGAGAAGGGTAGTAAGAGATTGAGAAAGAAAGAATGTAAGGGCCCTTTCAGGCAGGAGACGTGTCAGAAAGAAGAATCGAAGCACCCGAGCCCTTCTGTATCCTTGCTACTACATAGTAGCTTCCTTCTGCACCCTAGTTATTTTGCCAACCCCCAGCGGACCTCCAGTCTTCACGGCCGCTCTTCTCAAAACAGTTCCGTAAGTCGAAGCAAAGTCGCTCATTGATTGCATAGTCTAGCTGCTTGTGAGCCTCCTCCTTGCTGTTTTGAATTCCCCACGTCATCGTACCCAAGCAAGGTTCGGTGACTTGCAGTGGACTGGATCCCAGCTGTCTTACTTCAAAGGAGCGTCGCTGCGAAAGTCTACCTGAGTGGCCACAGTTCCCTTGGAATTCAGCTGGGCCATCAGAGTTTCCCAAACAGAAACGATAGAAAGGAAAAGAATTGCCAGGAAACACTGCAGCCAGCTTCAAAGACGTTTGGACATGGCACGACACCGTCGGCTTGGTGCTCTATATTTGCCCCTGCCAACGAGAATGACCTTGGAAGCTTGCGGCAAGTCATGCATGGGAAGCATGTAAGGCAGCACAATTCGTAAGATAGATTTCTTCCTTCTTGTTCATTCATAGGTTCATAGATGTTCATAGATTGTTCACAATACAATAATTATGTTGGTTTGGATGGTGGCCAACAAAGAGGTGCTTGCAGGATCGTGCAGGGTATGCAGAAGCACCAGCCCAACTCTTCGAGCCTGTTTCAGCTTATCCAAAATCCAAAAAAATTAACAAACGCCTTCAACCCATGTTCGACGACCCTTGGTGCAGCCACACTGCCCATGCGAAGGATATACCCGCTCTCTGCCAGCAACTGCGCGAGGAGCTCGAGTCCAATGGCTGGGTACACACAACCTTTCCTGCACCTGCGGCTTTCCAAACTCTCACGGGCGTCCTTGGAAAGCACTTGACATCATGGAAGCACAGGATTGCAAACGGTATCGATGAAACAACTTGAGCTTCGACAAGCATCCAAACACCGAACCCAGTCTGGCCACACTGCATCAGGTTGTGTGCTAGGGCCTGCTAGGGTGCTGAAAGGAAATACTTCGCTGACATGACCCGCTTTGAGCTCAAATAGCTGCAAATTTCCGAGGCTGCGAAATGGCGAAGCAGCACAAAAGCAATCCAACAGAACGCGCTGTGCATCATGACAAAGAGTTTCCACCGAGGCACGTCGTAGGCGTTGATTTCACGCTGGGGGACAATGACCTACATGGCATACATCATGAATTCACTTGCTGGCGTAGGTTCCAAAAACATCCATGAACATCTTGCAACTGTAGAGAGCCAGGCTCACAAAATCGGCTACAAATCTGCATCACCTGGACACCTGCAAGCCTGATTTTCCAATGCAGACAGGCGTCCACTTGGTTTGTATGCCAATGTAGCCGTCATCCCTTTTTGACATGCTTTGGCCAAGGCGCCGCGTGTGAGTCCAGCGGGTCACGGTCATCTGCAGCTCCAAGAGACAGCGAGCCCGGATTCAGCAGCAATTCAATCATGGCATCCTCCATTTCTGCATCAGCTTGACAATCGAAATGCCAAAAGCTCTGAAAGCTGGTGACAAAACTGGACAGAAAAATAGAACGAACAATAGAGAAAAGAAAGAGAAAAAGAGATTGCAAAGCCTCAATCGATCAAACCCAAAAATGTTCCGTGTCCTGATCTCCGAACAGCGGCATGTCGCTGTGACAAAGGCGGAAGGCACGCTCCAAGAAGTCCTCATTGAACTGGATCGAAAGGCGATGTTCATTGCTCACTAAGGCCGCACAGCTCCGCCTGTTCCTCAAAGTTTGGCTCTACCTTTTTCCTGCTTGCCCGGCTGCCTTGATACCTACATGTCCCAGGCAACTTCAGTACCACGATTGTGCTACAATGATCTACAATGTGAAATTTGAGGTGAGTATATCGACTTGCTAGCTCGCTTGCACACGAAGAGGCTGAATACAACTGCCCACCAGCCTACGGCATCCTACGGCCTAGGCACGATGCTCCAGTCACTTCGTCGAATAAGCCAGTTTGCCGAGCTCAGCCCCCAGCCTGCACAGCGACTGCACTCATGTGATCAATGGAGCCCCTAGTAGCGTCCTTGCTCCTTGAATTTTCTTGTACTGTAAAGCTTCCTTCTTGATCCTTCTTGAAGGCTTTCTGCGTTCCCACATCTCTTGGTCGCGCCTTCCTCGGTGATGAGGAGGTCAACACCTTCGTCTGGTGGGCCAAGCCTGTCCTCCTTGAGCTGTGAGATCAATAAAGCAGCAAAACAATTACGTAGCAGTTGCAACATAACAAAGCACACCAAAGGCAAACTGAGCCTCAGCCGCCAGCGCACATCTTGTAGAGCACCCCGTGCGAGAAATTGCCGAAATCTGCGAAACTCCCAGCGTTGGTGTTATGTCCTCAGATCAAGCAAGTTAAATCAGTTATATAAATCGTCAAGCAACGGCTCTGCTACACTGAAAAGACCTGGAAAAGCGCAAAACGTGCTGGAAAGGAGCATACACCTCAGCTCTCAAGCACGGTTCCTTTCCACACTCAAAGTTTCTGCTCGTAAACGATCTCTACAGAAAAATGCGACAAGAAGTGCCGATCAGGAGCATTGTAGAAGTCATCTTCGAATTCCAAGCAGTCACCAATTTCCCAGTGGCACTGCCCACGCTTCCTCCCAACCTTCACTGCATGTAAGGTGAAGAGAATGTAGTACGGCCAGGAACCCCTAGTAGCGTCCTTGCTCCTAGTAGTAAGGCCAGGAGCCCCTAGTAGCTTCTTGTTCCTAGTAGCGACGCCAGGAGCCCCTAGCAGCGTCCCTGCTCGGAACATGAGAAAGTTGAAGCCATTACGAGTTTGAGTTTTTCTGGAGGAGGAACTCCGTAGGCCACGAAGCGGCAGCTGGGCACTTCGCGACACAGCTGCAAGCACAGTGGCAATGACACTGAAATTCCTTGGTCGATCAATCCATCATCCCAAATGCAGTAAATTGAAATGCCTTGTAAAGCTCCAAGAATTTGCTGCTTATGAGCCCAACACAATCCAAGCTACCCAGTAGAACATCAGAGTCTACACATTCAGCTCCCCTTCTTCTCACAGCTGCCGGCTTTGCAAAGCTATTGACGGAGTTGTGCCACGTGGTGGCATCGAACGGGGCCCTACTGCATGTCATGGGCAGCTGCTGGCAGCTGCAGCCCGGAATTCCTCGCAGAAAGAAAGCTTGAAACCGCGGGAACTAAATCAATGCATGAACTTAGAGTTCTATAATTATATATATACAGTAGATATAGAGAGAGATGTATAAATATAGTTGCTTGCATACATCACATATATATACATGAAAAACATGTTGGTGCGTGGTGCGCGTATGTGTTTTCTTCAGCAGGTGGGCCAAGTGTCCTGACTCCTCAATCTCCCTTGTTGGCTCATCTGGCCTTTCAAGGCTGCAGCTTGCTTGAGGGTGACTGAAGAAGTACCGCGAGGGAACGAAGGCGAGAAAAGTATCTCTCTCTCCCTCTCTCTCCCTCTCTCCCTCTGCCTCTCTGCAGAGTAATTATATATCCCGGTCGTACGGTCAGGTAGTTTAGGAAAGAATGTCTGGTGTCTTACTCTTAGGCCGCTTGCGGCAGGAACTCGAACCAACTGCTTTCACTCCTTGATCAGAATATCGAGTGCTGGTTCACTCTCACTTCCGTGAACTTCTTACAGTAGTTGTTCCTCTTGGATTGTGGCGCATGGTTCATGGTCCCCGCAAAAAACGAACTGCCACACCTAGCTGTCACCTCAACATAGTATAAATATTACACATTATTACACTGTTATATACTATACCCACTAATCACTACTATGCCCTGTTGACCCTTTTAGTCCCGCCCAGCTTTTGGCTCATAGAGTAAAGTCATGAAAAGTCAACACGTGACAAAATATGCCAGCGAACCCCCAGTGTACCACTTGTCACAACATTGACATGGTCATCAAAAGCACCCAGTAATTACGGTGCATTGCAACATTGAGGCAACATTTCCCCTGGGCGGTGGACTTTCAAGATGCTCTTTTGACCGTTTAAGATCGTTTAAGGTTCTGTATGTTAATGTGTTGTTGGCAAAAATCACAACAGAAACCCAAGTTGGACGCAGCTGAGGCTTTTCCGAGCTTCAAGTTGGGCGCCCGGTGGTCAATGGGGGTACTCCGGCGAAGCGAGGAGTTGGGCACCTCGACATCTGAGAAGAATTCGCCACGAAAGGTGTGAGTGTGAGGACCAGGAAGGCTCCATATCTCGGGTCCGTGACCTTCTCACCCTCGAGCTCCTCCAGCGCTGCCAAGGCAGCAGAGTAGCAAATGCCATGGATTCGGCTGCAATGACAATCCTTGGATGCAACTGCTACTTGAGCATGTTTGCATCTGGGGGCAGTCAAAACATGCCACCAAACCTGGTGAGGGCCCACCTCTAAACTGTGCGGTTTACACATGCATGGTTCTAAACTTCAACAGCTGTGTCACGTATCTAGCACAAATGTTCAAGAGTTGCTGCTGCCGTTGCTGGATTCGTGCATTGGCGCCTGTGCTCTGGCTGCTATCTGACTAAGCTTCAGCAAACATGCCAAAATGAATCACATGTGTATATATATATACATTCATATATAGATAGATGAGGAGTGCACCACTCTGGTCACCAAGTGGGCTGCCGTCTCTCGGCTAGCGCGCGGCTAATGCAAAAGTCACTGGCACTTGAGTGAGCAAGTGAGTGAGGGAAGAGAGGAGGCAGGAAGGAGAAAAGGAGAAGAGAAGTTCATTGTCCAAAATTCTTTGGCAACACACAAACACACCTGCCTGCAAATTGTGGATATGAAACCTTCCGCCAACCTAGCACGAACCTACGACTAGCACTGAATTGCAGAATCACCATAGTCTGGCGCGGTGTGGGGCCCCGCTTCGAAACGAAAATGTAAAAAGTATGTTGCTCATGTGAACTATCACTCGTTTGAATGCAATGCAATCCAACTGTCGAACTGTTGTGCGCAAACTACTGAATTTCATCCAGCTTGGTCAAACGCCAAACGGCATACCCTGACAACATCCAAATGTGAGAATGTGGATAGTGCATGATAGTGCAATCAGGAAGCGTTGTGAGTCCGCACAGCCTTGGATGAGAAGCACTCGCAGCATCTTACAAACTGAGGTGCTAGTAGCGTCCTTGCTCCTAGTAGCGATGCCAGGAGCCCCTAGTAGCTTCTTGCTCCTAGTAGTATGGCCAGGAGCCCCTAGTAGCGTCCTTGCTCCTAGTAGCTCAGAAACCTCATGTTTTGCTTACCTCTCACTGACTCAGCCGCTCGGCCCTTACCACAAACTCTATGCTCGAGGTCTTGCACGTCGCCCTGGCGGCTCCGCCCGTCGACTAGGACTACCCGATGCACGAACTCTGGTTATCGAGATCGATAACTTACCCAATTACCCACACTAAGTCACTCGGTTTGGGACACCTTCTTTCGACGAAGAAGCGCGGGCTTCCAAAGTAACTCGGCCAGTTGCAACAGCTGCTGGGTCAACTTCGATATCGGTGAAGCAGTTGTGAAGCCGGCAGTCAAAGTCACTATCAGGCTTTGGATTGCATTCACCTGACAGAATTTAACACTGAGTTTTGACTAGTGACTAGTGACTATTGGCAGCCCCTGCTTCCGCTTCGAATGGGCAAACAAGCTCGCAAGCTCCCCACTCGCAATATCTATCTTAGGGAAAGGGGAGGAGCAGCCTTTTGGAAGTTCTGCACTGTGTTTATGTTTTCAGTGTGGTTTGATCGGTTATGAACTGTAAAGCTTCTCAACTTGCTCCCAAACTGGGGTTCATTTCTGTTCCTGCAGCTGTGTAGAAATGTATATATAGTACAGGGGGCCAAGAATTTTGGCCATGAAATGCTGATGGAAAGTTCCCATTGTATCCCAGGTTTTCTGTGTGTCTTTTCTGTAGGGCAGTGCCTGAAAGCCTCGGCAAAGAAAGCCAAATATATTAAAGCCAAGAAGGCGGAAAGAATGTCAAAATCCCTGTAACAAGATTGGAGTCCGAACAAGGGTTGTCGTTTCTTTTATGTATAGCTCTTATCATGTTTGCAGGGTTTTGGCAATATGCCACATCTCACATCTCCTATTGTTTCACAGGTTTTTGACCATGTGCGGCATCTCAAAAATCTTTCTACACTCTTGGCAACATGACGGTCAACCTGCAAAATTCTCCCAGAAGCATTTGCAAACCTCAAGCTCACTCTTATTCAGCAACTCTCACCGCAGAGAATGCTGTCATATTGACTCCACGGCGAGGCTTTATGAAACGGTGATCGTTCTTTGCTGAGCAGGTCTGAGACCCTAAACTCGATGCACACTCAAAGAGCAAGCAAACAGCCAAGAGACGGTGAACATATCATGTTACCCGGTAACCCCTTTCTATATCATATTATGCATACAAACTTATTGCTTTGAAAGCAATCCCGGAATCTAGGGACCTGCCTATCTATGTAGGGAAGGCCAGTGGTCGTCAAAGCTGAAAGCTGGCCAAGCACGATCACTGGGTAGTCAAGTTGAAGAGCAATGGTAATGGGAATGTGGAGGGTCCCTCTTGAAAAGGCGAACAATAACGCAACCCGACTAAAGGCACAGAAAGGATTATATAACAGTTGCAAAATTCTGCTGAGTTGCCCATGTCACGACCAGCAAGCGTCACAAAGGAGAGTTTTTCACTGTCCTGCTCCATGTCGATCTGTGCCGCACGCAATGTAGCCCTATATTGCACTCGGGGGTTCACCCTAACACTGGTGGACAAATAGCAGCCTTCGTCAGAGTTGCAACTTCCCACATGGCCAACATAAGACTCGAGGACCTCATCTTCGAATGGCTCTGCATAATCATGCGTTCCGCCAAACGTGTCATACTCCGCTTGCGGTGCAAGACTAGCATTCCGCGGTCCATCTTCTTCAGAGTCCACCGCAAGTCTTGCATTTCGCCTTGCATACCGAAAGATTATGGAGTCCAATGTGCGATTTAGATTCATAATGATTGAATCGCAGTCGAACCATGCGACCCAATCATAAATACCTGAGCGAAGATAATGAGCGACCAATTGCAACTTGGAGTGTTGAATGTGAACACCCTTTCCGGGCATTGGATGTTCATAGTGCACGTGCACGTCATAGTCATGCAAAAGCCCGTAGCTTTTGCGATTACTTGGAGTGATATTTCGCAAGACCAAAGGGTGCTCAGGAGGATATGCGCAAATCGACACAACTGCAATTCGTAGGTCGATTCTCAGGGTTGGATCAACTTGGGGCAGCCGTAAGTAGCGCCTCTGCTGTTCCTGGTGCAGTCGTTCCTTCAGTATTTTGATCTCAGAGACGATACGGTCGGTTCGAGTGGCCCAGTCTCGAGCAGCTTCTTCTGGCACTCTCAGCGCATTGCGCAAGGTAAAAACATAAATCAATGCAAGTTGAAGCAAGCGATATGCCTTCCAGTCATCCCCAGCTGCAACATATCTTCTTGCCTCGCTCTCTTCTCATTGAAGGTATGTTTGGCTATGTTTGGTCATGCGTCTGTCCATTCTGTGCCAGTAAGCTAGGGAGTTTCCAAAAAGAACTCATCATCTGAGTGCTGCACTAGCAAATGATATCCCGCAATCACACCCACATTGCACTGCAGAATCAAGGAGACATTGGCAGTGCGCTCTGCCAGCGACAAGACGAGCTCTTTAGCCAAGATCTCGCCTTCATCTGGGTCAAAAATTTGTTGTCGCCCATACTCCACCTAACCAGTTTAGGGCATTCAAAGAGCACCATGCCCAAACCGTCCTTGTAAGAAAAAAAGTGCAGTTCTTAAAGAAACGTCCATTAACAACAACAACAACAACAACAACAACAACAACACCAACACCAACACCAACACCAGCAGCAGCAGCAGCAGCAGCAACAGCAACAGCAACAGCAACAGCAACAACAACATAATGCTTCTTGAATTCAAGTTGCGAGCTCACGAAAGGCGCTCCAGGCCCCACCGTCCTCCGAGGACACAAAACATGTCGCTGAAACCGCCTGTCACCTCTATGGCATGTGCAACGGTGACCCCTGTAACAAAGTCCTTCTTTATATTTACAGGGCCTTCTTAAAGAGGTCCGTGTCTCTACCTTCTTGTTCTCCTCCTCTCTCTCTCTCTATGAATCATATGAATAGATTAACGCGCTGTTTTCCGGCACCTGACGGCAACTAAAGCGCTCGTCAAAGAAAGGCACCCCTTCACCTTCTTCGACGCGCGCTTTGATGTCCTGGGCATGCAACGCCGACGCTGTGTGCTGCTGATTAAGGCACATATATATATATATACAGTATGTAAAATAGACGTGTTCGAGTAGACAGGGAGAGTCAAGTCCAAGAACTAGCACAGTACAAAGGGGTCGTGGCATGCTCAGTCAATATAGTCAATACTTTCAGAGAGCGTCTGCAGGAGTTGTGCTTCTGGCCGAAGCATGGATGGCAACAGTTCCAAGGCATGCGAGGAGGCGCCGCATTCATTCATGCCGCGCAGCTAGTGTCATACAAACATTGTTTCTCATTTGGCGCGGCCAACCTTAACTATGTAACTATGAATTGTTGCTCCCGGTCGATGCTGTTTCTCAATAAGTGATGCTGTTTTTCAATAAGCGTGGGCTTGCAATGACTTTAGATGTCGACAAGACTCTGTCAAACTGTCTTGTTCGTCGGCTTTGTTTTCACTGCTAACTAATATCCCAGCTCTTGGATTTGCGCCCGTAACGCTGCAGGAAACTTATCCGTTCATGCCATCGTTCAAAAGAGCTCGAAGAACTCAGATCAGGCTTAGAGCGAGGCCACTCCTGGGAAGAAATCCTCAAGCAAAGCTCCACAGGCACTTCAAGCTCTGCAAAATTCTGACATGTCATACCTTGTCACTGAACTGGCTCGTTGCGGCCCAAGTCTCACAAGGGCCATGGGGGCCACTGTGGGGCTTGGCTGCGCTGGGCTTGGCAAGACCTGCTTCAAACAATTCGAGGCATGTCGGGGCAGTTAGGGCCAAGACCCAAGGCCTAAAGCCCAGGGTGGAGGCCATCGCTACTAGCAGCTTCCGAATTCAAAAGCACAGCTCAGCTCATGGCTAGTTGGCGCTCCTCGGATCGTGAAATCTGAACGGCCTCGGTGATCCTTTTGCTGCCTTTTCCTGATTGCACACTGCCAACACGGCCAAATTTATGTGCCAATGCGCCGCTAGTTGTATATGTGTGTATACATGTTTATACTGTTCATGTATATTTAATATATGTGTTACATGTTGTTATATTATGTTATATTCATACTCGCTCTCTTGGCTAAAACTTTGGCGTCGCCCGCAATCACCATTTTGTCCGCCGCACAGCTATGGCCACCAACTTCTACCTCTAAACTCTACTCGACCCCATCACCTCCTCTCGATGTTTACGTCATGAGCGTCGGCCACCTCAACTTGTTGCACCCTCTGGACCTTCACCTCGAAGTCCAAGAGCAATCCGCGCTGCTATCCGCAGGCATATGCTGGCAGCAGGCCCTCTAGCCATTCCCAGATCTTGATGCTTTGAGAAAGCTCAGGCATGTTGAAAGGTCACATTTCCTCAGCTATTGGGTTCCGTCTTTCAGGCTTTGAACTCTGAACTCGATGCATTCTGATGATTTTTGGAGCATGTATGTTATCATGCCAGGCGGCCACAGCATCGGTTGGTCTCCCTTCGGAGCTGCTCCACCGACCTCTCTAAGGAATCCAATCGCCTTGGCTTATTGACCAATTATCAATTGGCCAGCGTGTGCTTCGAGCTGCGACATTGACTGAGGGACAGGCTGTCGCAAATGCTCTACCAGCGACACTCGCTGCAGGAGATCATGCCTTACTGCTCGGACTGCGGCTGGCTGGACGAATCAGGGCTGAAGACGAGAAAATGGAAAGCTTTATGTTGATCTGCAGGGGCTTGAACAAGAAATAACAAGAAGCTTGATGCTTTGTAATCTTTGTAGAGATGCGTCGTCTAAATGCCAGACACCAAGTAACAATTGAATGCTTTTGGCTTTGTCCTGCGCTGCGGGTCCCATGACACTCTGCGGTCGATTGACCCATTGGCCTCGTGCCTCCCGCTCCAAGCTTTCAAGCTGCGAGTTCTGTTGCTGTGAGGCTGCCACGAGTAGAGCCTCAAAAAGAAAGTAAAAAATCAGAAACTTTTAGAAGCAAGGAACATCATAGAGGAAAAGCGCTGATGTGTTCATCCAAGTCAAAGCCACACGGAATCTAGAATCTAGAACCTGTCAAACGGGACAGTAAACACATGCAACCCTATCCAGGCCACCGACAATCAGGTCAAGCAAATGGACGGTTTTGCGGCTCCTGGGCTGAAGCTTGACCAGCATGCAAGAACAAAAGGCCATTGAGTCTTCACAAGAACTGTCCAAGCAATCGGCTCATCAGGGTGCTCCACAATCCGCACCATGTTCGGCAAGGCTTGCTCCAGCTCCTGCATTCCCACATCGGTTTTAACTGTCCTACATTTGACTTGGTGCATGAAACTGGTGACAGGTTCGATCATGTTCGCCATCCGCATCACTGCTCAAAAATACAGCCACAAGCCAAATACTTACTCCTGTGCTATGAAGCCAAATCTTTGCGCTTCCAACGGGTCTGTCTTCGAAATGTATGACACCGGCCTCGGTTTGTTCTCTTGAGTGCAGGGATTGGAACAAAACAACTCAAGTACAGGCTAATGGATGACAGCTTGAATGCGCCATGAATCTCACCTGAGCTGATTCAGCATCCAGGCAAAGAGTTGCCGCTCATCCACCTGGAAGATTGAGCACCAACCAAGAGCAAAGGCACTCAATGCGAGTAATGTGGAAATAGCAGCAATTAGCACATACACTGGGGTGCCGAAAGTTGCGCTTCTTGACTTCTAAAACGGGACAAACCCTTTCCCCTTAGAATCCTACGTGCAACATGTCGACACCTAGTTGCGGTCAGATTTCCACTGAAAGCCTTATAAGTACTATAAATTTAAATCTAAACGGGTGTGGAAATCTGACCGTGCTGTACCTGCCAGGCAAAATGGACGTGTCTATCCGATCCGCTGTAGACCGCAAGTGTCATGTTGGAACAGAGTAAGGCGCGTAAACTTTAGGGTTCTTGAAGTATGCTAAGCCTCGGCATGTAGTCGCATGTACTTGCTGGGGCGGGGGTGAGCAAGCAAGCTTGCAAAACTGTGACACTGCACCACTGCTTTATCTGCTTTGCGGATTCCAATCAGCCGGGCCACAGATTCGTCCATGCTTTGTTTGTCGGCGTGGGACTGCTCCTGGCGGCCAAAGTAGTGCCACGCCTTTTACACAATGGTCTTCACTCATCAACCGAGTGCCACACCACTCACACAAGTCACATAAGCAGAGTGGGAAAGGCACTGAAGGATACTTGCCAATTGCTGAGTCAATGTGGCAATGCAAGCATGGCAGAATCCTTCCATAATCTTCGCAGTGTGCTCCGCAATGGTTCTATGTCTCGCCTCAGGCCAAGATCAGCAATTCAGCAAAGGGCCCCAGACAGATCAGACAAGCTGCTTGAAGCGGATGTCTGATGTAACTGTTGCTGCATCCAGAGCCCAGGTCCCATGCAATATCCTTAGCATTCCAATCTAGAATCTAGAAAGTCCTCGCTCGTGTTGGGCGGTTTATTGTATATAATGTATAATTAATTATTGTTGTCACCGCCAAGGCTGTGGCCCTGATCCTCCTGCGGTGCTTGTCCCAGACAGCGCTCGATTGGAGCCTCATGTGCATCTGTACACTTTGAACATGCAGGCCTAGGCAAGCCAAACAAACTCTGACTCAGTATTGAACCTATATACATTTGCAAGGCTGGAATCCCGCTGTCATAGTTGATGTAGGTTGTGCTGCCACCGAAACGCACCTGGCTTAGAACTTCCACGTTTTGCGGAAAGGTGTTGATTGGCGTGCTTCCGCTTGCTGCCACTGCTGGGATGTCACAGGCAAACAAGTGGTTTCCACCGGAGACATAACCTCAGCTTCAGTTCATCAAACAGGACACGTGTTTGTCCCAAACAGCCCTCACTGCCGTGTGATCCACCTCATGAACTAGGAACAAATCGTTTCAACACCTGTGCTGCTAGGTTATATATATATATGCTTTTCATTGCTTTTCTATGGCCTTCCTTTCACCTGCACTGCCAGTCTTTGCAACTAGGGCGCATGTGCATTTTGCTTGGGAAGTGCCAGAACCAGGTGCTGCAAGTGACCAAGAGTTCGTTCCATCTGAAATTGTTGCCAGATTGGAACCTGAACAGTGAACAGCGGCTCGCACTGAATCCTCCACAGTCAAATGTGAACCCAGGGCCTGACCATCATTAAGAAACAAAGGTTGAAACCTGTTGGCTCAACAGGCAAGTAGAACAAAAATTGAACATGCTGCCACCGGCACCAGTATTGAGGAAAGTGTAGGCCATCATGCCAGACTGAGAGCTTACATCAATCTTGTAGTAGTTGTCACAGTTGCTCAGCGTTAGGCTCACAGTGCCGCTGGACGTGTCAAGAATCCAGCAGGACGGGCAGTAGCTAAAGCCACTACCGCAAACACGCCTTGGCGCAGGATGCGGAAGGTCTTAAGAAGAAGCCATCCAGTCGAGTCAAGCTACGAGCTGATGTCATAAGTCGAATCTGCAGAGATAGAGATGCATTCCTGGAATGCGTCTGCGGCAAATTGGACTTACCAACACCGTACTCCAAGGCAAGAATCTGAAGATGGATTCGAATTCAACGTGGCATCGGTGCTGTAGAAAATCACTGGGGTCACAGACCTAAGTTGTCGCAGTGGACAGGTTCTCTATCATTACTTCATAGCCAGTGGCCAGGCATAGCTGATCATGCAACAAAGGAGGCCTTAGAGAGGTCAATTCGCTAGCTTGTTGCGTCAGAAGGACGCATCACAGGTCAAGAGATTGGATGTGATGCAGCTGCACCTCAAGGGGTGAGTTGCAGGCTCCACCGACGACCGAGAAACGCAAGAAGGGTCTGTGACTATGAGTTGCTGGCACAATCGTAGAGCCTGCAGTACCAAACATCAAGGCAAAGGTTCGTTTGGCATGAAGAGTCAAAGGCATCAAAGTAGTTTAACTTTCGGATATATAGGAGCCCCTAGCAATTAGTATAGTAGCGTCCTTGCTCCTAGGTTCAGTACATAGCTTCCGTACGAGCTGCACGTTTTCATGGCCATGTTCCTCGCCTCTGTGGCCTGAGCGGGTGACCATGTAGGTGTTGGTTCCATCAGAGACCACTGCCGCGCCATATCCAGTCTGGTCCAAAACTTTCTGAGGAATATGTCAACGCACAAACAGCCACCTACGAAAAGCTTGAGACACTCCTTCATATCAGCCTAGCTGCATTGATGAAGGTGAATGTTTGGAAGACGGTGAGCGAGAGACTACTCAACGCAGAACTGAATTCCTAAGCACCATAGAAGTTCACAAGTTTGACAGCGTCAACGATCGACAACCAGTTGGGATGTCTGCTGGAAGTGAGCTCCATCTTGAATGGAAGCGTAGTTGCACGTCACATAAGTAAGATAACATGTGACACCCCTACTAAACATACTAAACGTGCGTGCAGCTGAGATGCGGCACTTAGGCAAGAAGAGATGGTCAAGTAGATGGCTCCAAAGTTCTTAGATGCATTGCTGTGAGCATGCCAGAAAGCCTCATTCCTATGCTCGAAAAAGAAGTGCCACGGCTCCAGTCAAGCACAGTGCACGAGCTCATTTTATGCTAGTTCAATTTGTTCCCAAGGCTTTGCCAATGATACGTCTTCCAAGAGTCTGTGTTCATCAAGAAGCCTGCAGGCACCGGAGCTGCCGAGCGGGAAGGCAGAGGTTTCAGAGTACATGGTCCAATCCCCTAAAGGTGGTTTATATATACTATATCGACCCAATATATTTACAGAACGGGTGCTCCTGGGAGATGTTGTTCATGCAAAAAATGATGCAAAAACACTGTGTTTTACAGTGATTTCATGCAAAATCATCTCCAAAATTGAGGTTTTGAGCTATTTGTTGATCAATTTTGTGAGATCCAAGCCTATCCCAGTTTAGAGGGAATACCAAAAAAACAATAAACCAAAAAAAACAATAAGCCAAAAAAACAAAAAGAAACAAAAAAACAATGTTTGAGACAAAATGCAGCCAAAAAAAACAAAAAAACAATAGTGCCCCCATTCTGTCTCAAACATTCTTTTTTGTGTTTTTTGTTTTTTTTTTTTGGTTTATTTCTTTTTGGTGTTTTAGTGTTCTCTCTAAACTGGGATAGGCTTAGATCTCACAAAATTGCTCAAACAATAGCTCAAAACCTAAATTTTGGAGAGGTTTTAGCCAAAAATCACTGTAAAACACAGTGTTGTTGCTTCCTTTAAGTTTAACGGTGGAATTTGATGTTAAATTGGATTTCAATAGATTTTGGTATTAGACTTCAATTAAAACGCGTTCAGAATTATTGGTGGAAGTTGATTTCTCATTAGCTTTCTATTAAAAATGTGTTTAAGATTAATTGTGGATGTTTTACAAACTAAGTTTCAGTTATATCATTGTCAAAATCATTGGGGAAATTGATTTTTATATTAGAGTTCAATTGACATTTCTTCAAGATTAATTATAGAAAAATGAATGTGTAATTCAACTTCGATTAAATGCCTTTTCAAGATCATTGTGGCAATTGATTTTGAATTAGGTTTCACTTAAAATCCTATTACATTTCATTGTAGAAATTAGGCATTACTTAAATGTAAATTAATGTCCTTTTCAAAATCATTGTGGGAATTGCTTGTTGTTTAGATTTAATTTAAGTTCTTTTCAACATAATTTGATTGAATTGCTTGTGTATTGGATATCAATCAAGACCCTTTTAGAATTGATTGTGAAAATTAACTTTCAGTTAACAGTTAATGGGGGAAATCAATTCTTATAATTAGATGTTAGTTAAAGTCCTTTTATTTTATGTTGCCTTGTAGTGGGGAGCAAACAAATACAAAATCAATGCAAGTTGGTTAAGCATCACAATTTCCACAATCAATCTTAAATCGAGTTTAAACACAATCTGATATTAAATCAAAGCCACCACTAACTTTGAAAAGGACTTTAACTAAAATCCAATTGTAAGAACTAGTTTCCACAATGAGTTTTAAAGAGAACTTGGAAAGGATTTTTACTACAATCTAATATCTAATAAATAGCAATTTCCACAATCAATGTTAAAAGGATCTTGATTGAAATCGTCTAATTTAAGTTTACCTAATTCTATTTTAATTCTAGTTTAGTTAGTTTAAGAAAACACATGTTACAACACCCTATATATAGTTTACAGTGTTTTTTTGCCCTAGGAGTGCTGGGAATAAGACAAAAACTATGTTTTTGAGTAGATAGTATGTGTTTAAAGTAATCCCTTTGAATAATCATTGCTATATTAAAACTGCTTTATGTACAAGCTTCTAATTCAAAAGGTTCCCTCTAGATCTGATCACTTCTGTGAAAAAATATAAAGCTTTCATTTCAAAAGCTTTCCTCTGGATCTATGGAAATAGTCACGGTATTTTTAAAAGGCTATAAGTATGTATGTATATATATAAGTGTTTCTTTCAAAAGCTTTCCTTCAATGAAAAAACAAAACTCTAGGAAATCTACTTTCCCAGAGATCCAGAGGACAGCTATTGAATCTAGAGATGTATAGTATTATATCTTCATTCGCTCATGATGCTACATTCATTGTGGGCAGAGAGAGATTTACCTGATCAGATTTATCATTGGTGTTGCACATTGATAGTGGGCAGACGAAGAGCTGTTATTTATTTGTTGTCATTGACATTGGACATGGAGACTCGGCACAGACAGATCAAACAAATTGCGTTTCGCCTAGTTCTCAGAGCAGTTTTTGAAATGTTGCACGGTATTTACAGTGTTTTCTAAGGGTTTTGAGCTAGTGTGCGCTCTCCCAAGCACACCCACCCTCTATATTTAGGTTTGTGCCGCCTACTCTGGAACCAGTGTAAATTCTTGAGTCTGGAGTCCGGCATGCGTGATCTTCAAGGCAAGCCACAAGGCGGGCAAAGGGCATTGGTGCAGGAAGTTGTCCCAAAGGTAGACGCCATGTCTTTGGTGTATGTCCCGTCCAGCAGCGTGAACTCAGACAAAAGTGACAAAAGTGCTACAGCATTGTTGTTGTTCCAATCAACGCATTGCCACAACAACCTTGTGTTGTGTTCTCTTGCATTCAAGCCGCACATCCTGCTTGAAAGAAGTCGGAGGTGGTGGTCAGGTAAGATGCCTCGGTGTGAGTTCGCACCCCAAGTGAGATCGAACTGAAATGCCGCAACTGCAACAAGTAAAGGATGTTTTGTGTGGTCTAATGCATGCAGCAAAGTCAGATAAGCGACTTCAATCTGCCTCAGCTATCCAGACACTCATTGTGTGGAGTTCAAGCAGTCGCTCCATTCTATTCAGTAGTTTTGTAGAGAATTGTGGAGAAATGATTGTGGCAAATGGAGCTGATCAGGACACACCAAGAATCAATGGCCCACCGCTCTGGTCAAAGCTGCGTCAAGTGGCACAGCCACCACGGCGATTGAAAAGGTGACAAGCAAACAGGCCATCTCATGCGCGGGTGTATTCGTCAAGCATGTACAGTTCATTGCTTCATTCACAGTGCTACTCTTTAAGGCCATGAATAGTGTGCCTAGTAGCTTGAAACCTCCCCATTTTGATTTTGATTGTTCGGATTCGCAATGATAGAACCTCCCAACTCTCACCGCAATTCGCCAATTGCGGTATATAAAGTCAGTATCTTGCTATGCTGACCTGTCTGCTGTGTAGTGCTGCAGCCCCATCGAATGTGACGTTTGCGATGCTCCATGTAAAGCAACCAAGTGCCCAATGCCGAACATGTATCAAAAGTCCTTGCCTGTCACCCAGCCAGAGCGAACCTGACAGGGCAAATGATTTTTCAAGGGCATCGGCATCGTGAATGCCAACGTCTTGAGCAACGCACTGTGTCTTGCACGGGGTGGCCCGCAGAAGGACCTCAATCTTAGCAATAAATGCACTGCAGGCACTTTTGGGAACCACGCTGCCCCACAAATTGTCATTCTGTCATGGCCCATGGGCCATATCCACTATCGCTAGGCTTGCCCGACGACGAGACAGCTCTAAAAAGACAAAAATTGTAATACAAATACAAATATGATACAAATATGATATATTATATATATAGAGAGAGAGCACACTTTGCGCCGTGTGAATGTCCTGGAGAGCACCACCGTGTCTTTGCGTCATAGTACCAGGGCAGTCGTAGGACCTGGACACAAACTGATGCAATAAATCACGGGGATGCTGTATGTACTGGCAGCTTATCTGGTCTGTTCATGGTCCTCTTGCTAAGCGAAGCTACGCAGTTCCTTGACACCTATTACTGGCGTGAAGACAAGAACGTCTGTAAAGTTTTCAATTTTGAGAACGCTTCAGTTCTTGAAAAGAGTTCCATTTCCTGGTATTCCCCAGCTACCTACCATGCAGACTTGTCAGTTGGTCTTTATTACTTTATATGATTAGGTCGTATTTCTGGTGCAGGGCATGCCACACTCATACTCCAGCTTCATCATTTTGCGTCAGCACCACACAGTGTGGGCCGGCGGGCGTGCCTAAACGCCTACAGTACAAACAACCACATGCGCACCAAAGCTTTGTCAAGCGCACCAAAGCTTTGTCAAGCGCACCCCAAACTTCATGTGATCTTTCCACAAAGCGTCCACGGTGCATTCCCGAGCCGATCCAGAGATGCAAAGGATATGCCAAATGGGTGCTACTGCCGGGGCAGTTGGCACAGTTCGGTCGCCTGGTTGGTCAACCACAAAAGGCAGCATACTCGTCGTAATGATTCCAGACAGTTTCTGGTGCTGGTCTGGGCCCGCTGACCTCTTGGACTTGTAGGCCGCAGGCTCTCCGCCACAGCATTACTTTTGGCCCGGGGGGTCCAGCTGGTCAAACTTTTGGCAAACCTTTGACTCAGGCTGAGGTGAGTCACCCTTTACCTAACCTTTCACCAACTTTGTATTATTATAGCTGGGGGTGTAGATTTTCTCGACTTCTCGGGCATACTTTGACCTTCGGACTTCTCCACGTTTTGCAGAAACCTTTCTGAGTGTCGGTGTGTGTGTGTGTGAGAAGCCTTTGGAGTCAAAGAGAACCTCTTGGCTATTCAAAAAGCAGGGGGCAGCCTCGTGAGCATAGCTGGCTGCCCAACGAAAAGGGCTATGCGGCTATGCCACGACTGATATGGAGTCAACTCCACGTACCTGCTTTCCTTTGAACTGTTCACCAAGCTGTGACTCCACTCTCCTGTAAAGTGCTAACGAGTTCCGCAGATGTGAGCGCTCGTCGTCGTTTCGTGGTTTCTGGCATTTGACTGCGAGCCTCGGGTCTCCTACCTAAAAGCGATGGTTTGCAGGATGTTCAGACCCCCTTACATGGCTTGCTCGGGCCCTTTGTTCACCCAGGCTGCCGTGTGGCATGAGGCATTCAGTTCCGTACACAATATCCCGAGTGTGTGCGTGTGTGTGGGTGTGTGGGGGGGCGGGTTACATGTCAAGGCCGCCAGTAGCATTACAGTACTCAAATGCCGTACCCCCTCTTGTATATGGGGTCGTGGATTGAACAGTTCTCAGATCGTCAGAGCACATCTTCCGAATATGCAACGCGATCAGCCCACCAAATCATCAACGCTAACAGAACATCATGTCAACCGGTCGCCCCTTGTCGCATTAACAATCATGTTAGAGCGTGTGTTGCTGATATAAAATGCATATATATTTAAGATACATTGTTCAGCCAATGGCACTTCTTTTGAGCCAGCGAATGCAAGGCAGTGTTTGGGCCTCCTCTGCCTCACTACCTTCATTATATAAATATGTGGGAACGCAGTGCATGAATCTACCTTGTTCGAATGTCCTTATCAGCCGACAGCGCACGAGTCCAGTGCGTGTTGACCAGACATTGTTGCACAAGACATGGTCACATTCGTCTGCTTGGCGACATTGAGAAATCGAACCCCGAATGCTCAAAGACTCAACTTCACAGCAAGGAACAAGTGCCACGCTAGTAGTAACAAGTGCCTTACTAGTAGTAACAAGAAGCTAGTAGGAACAAGTGCCACGCTAGTAGTAACAAGTGCCTTACTGGTAGTAACAAGAAGCTAGTAGGAACAATTGCCACGCTAGTAGTAACAAGTGCCTTACTAGTAGTAACAAGAAGCTAGTAGGAACAAGTGCCACGCTAGTAGTAACCACGCTGGTACTAACAAGTGCCTTACTAATAGTAACAAGAAGCTAGTAGGAACAAGTGCCACGCTAGTAGTAACAAGTGCCTTACTAGTAGTAACAAGAAGCTAGTAGGAACAAGTGCCACGCTAGTAGTAACAAATGCCTTACTAGTAGTAACAAGAAGCTAGTAGGAACAATTGCCACGCTAGTAGTAACAAGTGCCGTACTAGTAGTAACAAGAAGCTAGTAGGAACAAGTGCCACGCTAGTAGTAACA